CAGCTCCTGTTGGGGGTGGCGGCAGGGATGACAGCGGCTGTGGCAGCCGCTGCGGCGCGAGACTGAGCGAGCGGCGAGAGAGCCGGAGAAAGAGAAGGAAGTGGAGCCGCGACCTGGAGCTCTGGACGCAGCTGCCACGCCGAGGACCGCCCCACTTTGCAGAGCGAGCCGAGTCCGGACCTAGGAAGACTTCCCCGCCGGGCGCCGGCCGCCGGCCACCGCGGCTCCAAGCCTTTTTGCCGGCGCCCTGCCCTGCCCTGCCTGCCCCAGCCCCGGGTTCTGCCGGGACGCTCCCTGGTCCGCGGTCCTGGTCGTGTAGCCGGGACGCCCGGAGCCCCTGACCCTGATCCAGTGCACCGGGGCGGGACACTCCTGGCCCACCATACGGCTCCATGGTTACGGGCTCGTTCCCAGCCTTTCTATAGTGTGTGTCGGAGCCCCCGGCCCTCCGCCCAGGGTTAAGGCAGAGTGCAAAGGAGCCCTGACGCCCCCAGACTCTGGTTCGCCGAAACCATAACCTTAAGCTGCCTCCGACTCGGTGCTTAGGACTTGGGACCGTGCGAACGTCCGGGAAGCCCCAGTCCCCGTTCAGAGCACTGTGAGGGGTCCCAGTCGGACTGAACCGGACCAGGCTGGTGCTGCGAGCCAGAGCTGCCGCCTTCCTGCTGCCCCAGTTTGAGGGCTGAGCGATTGCCCCGAAGGAAACACAGGAGAGAGCCGAAAGCTGCAGGTGAGAGAGCCCCGGATGCCGGGCAAGGGCGGTCTCCGACCCCATCCGGGTAGCTCCTGGGCCACCTGCGGGCGTGCGCGGGGCACAGCTGCGGCTGGAACTGGCTAGGAGGGGGCTTAGGAAAGGGAACGGGGAAAGGGAGAAAACGGGCACATATTGAACCACCATTGTGTGTGGGTCCGCGCCCCACCCTTGCGCAAATAATCCGTCAAATGGCTCGCTACTACTCCGTGAGATAAAAGGTGCTGTGTGCTTACAGATGGGGAACCAGCTTCAGCAGGGTTGAGTGATCTGCTCTTTTCACTCAGGCTGAGACTGGGGAGGATTGACTGTTAGACTGGAGTGGGAAAGGAGCGGAGAGTGGGGAGGAAAAGAAAGGACGTGCTGAGCCGCCAGGCAGGAGGTAGAGGGGAGGTGTCAAGGTGGGGCCACTGGGGCATCGGAGAGCTGATCCTGAGGCTGGGGAAGTGGTTTCCTCTGGCCTCTTTCCCTCCCACTCCATGGCCATTTCACCTCCCGGGAAAGATGACCCAGAGTTGAGAGCAGAGGTGAGAAGCCTCCCTGTCCGAGATCAGCTGCCCCTTCCCCTGTGTGCCAGACTCCAGTGTCTCTAAGACACTCCGGAGGCCCTGAGACTCTGCTTATCTGCTGGGAGAACACCCTGTAGAGGCCCCCAAGTCAGAGCCTATCAGAACTGGAGATGAGCCCCCTCAGCACTCCCGCAGCTCACATCCTTCATAATAGTAAGGGGGACACTGAGGCCTGGGCTCAGGGCAATTGTTGGGGTCCTAAAGTGAGTGAGTAATTGAACCAGAAGTACACTTGAGAAAACCTTCCCAAACATCTTTCAAGGTGTCCACCCCCACCTCCCTAGTTAGCATCTTCTGGGTGGGTGACTGGGGCTTTCCCCACCCCTGATGTGAGGTCTGGGTGACCACGTATGAAGCTGTTGTGAGAGTCTGTGTGGTTGGTGCTGGGGCCTCAGACATCCCAGCAGCCCCACAGCCTTTGCCCCGGACTGAGGGTCTGACCTCAGCCTCTCCGGGGCAGGGGAGCCTGCAAGACACCTCTGGTCCAGGAGGGGAGGGGCTTGCACAAGACCTCAGGGCTGGGGGCACAGTCTCTGGTGTCTGGATTCCCAAGCAGGGACTACTTCTCTTGCACCCTGGGGCTGCACAGAGAGAGGAGTGTTGTGAAAGAGTGCTTGGCATGGACTCTGTGGGCTGTTGTTCAGGGGTGAGGGGGAACGTGGCCTCTGTCTGAGCCCTGTGGCCTTGGCTGGGACTAGTTAACCCCTGCTTTGCCCAGCTTCCTGGAGTCTAGGGGAAACCACCTTGGAAAGCCCCTGGGAGATGGGGGAGGGTGGAGAGGTCAGCTGAAGCCTGGAAGCTCAGTCCGTGGGGGTGAGGGGGTTGGGGGAACCAGAAGAGAAAGTGACTGAGGGACTTAGGATTCCCCCAATATCACCACCATCCATGGGGATTCAAATTCTCATAATAATCCCTGCAACTAAACAAAGCTCCTCTTTGATGAGATAATTTCACACCTGTGATCTCATTTCATGGTGTGGTGGGAAGAATCTGGAGTGAGGCAGAACAGGGCTGGAGGGCCATCTGGGACCTCTTGGATCAATCCATGGCTCCAAGCCTCACCTGTTAAATGGGGTCAAGGCAGGCTGTGTGTTACTTGCTCAGATAATGGGACCATCACATCCAGCACACTGTCAAGTGCTGAAGAGTTTTTTTGTGTGTGTTTACCAAGACCGGGATTGTTACTAATGGCTACCTCATGTGGGAAACTGAGGCTCAGAGAGGTTGAAACCACCTGCTCAGGGCCTTTGAGTTTGCTTCAGGAACTGAGTGCCAACTCAGGTGCCCTGGAAGTTACCCAGATGGAAAAGGCAGTGTGGTGACTAGCTCTCAATGGAGTGCGCTAAGCGGCTTGGGCTAGCCGCGGTGAGTCAGCGGACCAGGCGGCATACATCTGCTTTGATTCCTCCCACTGGCCATGTGGCGTTGGGCAAGTCACTTCACTCCTCTGAGCCCCAGCTGCTTCTCTATAAATTAGAATTCCTCCTTAACAAGGTTGTTGTGATGTTTAAATGAGATATAAATATACAGTGCGTGACCAAATATCTGTTTCCTTCCCTATAAGACAAGGAAGCTTGAATGTTGATCAGGAAATCCTGGGACATTCTAAGATTTGCCTTAGATTGGAATGCAAGCTACTGTTATAGGTTCAAAGGCCTGGTTTGTTCAGCTGAGACCCCTGTATGGGTCAGGCTCCCTTGTACCACGTTCCTGGTCCCACAGTCCTCTAGAATCTGCTTGGGGACCCTGGCAAGGGGCTCTGGATTCTGACCCCCCACCCCAGGGCTGCTGGCTTCCTTTGGGGTTGTGGGGAACTGGTGTTCATTCCCTCTGGCCTCCCTAGGCACAAAGGTGCAGTGAATAATTTATGGCTCCCCTCACTGGGAGGCAGTCTCAGGGAAATTACTCTATGTTCAGCTGAGCTTCTGAAGCCCACCAGAGGAGGCAGGTGGTTCCTGTTAGTGCTAGAAGTCTTAGATACAGGGGAAGGAGGGATAGGAAGAAAGTGACCTATTATCCACCCCAGCTCTCTTATCAGGGGCAAGGTGGACCAACGGGAAACAATGAAAAACAAGCTAGAACAAGGATCAAGCTGTGGGCCTCTGATTCCAAATGAGTGGGGAGGGGTTGTGAGGAGAGAAGGCTCTTAGGGACTGGAGTAACCGGGAAGGCTTTATTAAGGAGAAAGGTGCCTGGGCTGGGGTTAGAGAGTAGGGGTCCTGACAGTTCAAGATAGAATCCTGGCTGTGCCACTTACCCACTGTGAGACTGTGAGCAGGACACCTGACCCTGCCAGGCCTCAGGTTCCTCTGTAAAGTGAGGGTAGTTATGGTGACTGTGAGGTCATATATGTAAAGCAGATGGCACGATAGGTACTTAATGAAAGGGTGCTTCACGGTGAACATGAACCATGAGGTGGGCTAATGGCAGGGAAGATGGGAAAGTGTAATAAGCAGGGAAGTGGGAAGAACTCTGGGGTGATAATGGATCTGTGGGGTTAGAAAGGGGTTTGGAGAAGAGGGATGGGTGATCAAATGGTTGAGGACTTTGAGCGTCAGACAGAATTCGCACTGCAGAAAGCATCATGAGGTCCACATTCAGAGCCCCTTGTGACTCCTTGCCAGTAAGATGGAGACCAGGTCTCTTTGTTGTACATTCAAGGCTTTGCCCACCGCAGCCACTGTGTGGACTCCTGGTCATTGCTCGTCATTATCTCCTAAACACATCACCTGTGGCCCCTTTATTTAAGGGGTTCCTCCCATCATCCACACCATCCATACCGCCTTTTTCTCAGCTCACCTCCCTGTCTGTCAGGGCCCAACTCAGGTCATAAATTCCCCCAGAAACATTCCTGGATTACCTAGCCCTCTGATCACACCCCCTCTGAATCTTTAACATGTCACAGTAATAGTTACAAACAATACCTACCATCACATCACATTTTACAGTTTGTAAAATGCATCCACATGCTCATTTAATAATACTGTGATGGTGATGTGAACTGTTGCTAATGCTCTTGAGTTCTTATTCTGAGCCAGACACTGTGCTAAGCTCTTTACAGAGGATCTCATTCACAGCTCTGGGAGGTAGCTACTGTTAGGCCTCAGAAACGGGGGCTCAGAGAGGTACATTGTCTTGCTCAAGGTCACACAGCTTGACAGTGGGGAGTGAGGAATCAAGAGTGTGCTCTTGTCTGTGACCAAACAGACAGCTCTTAGATGTCCTGCCTCTTCAACTCCACCCAAGTAGCAGGAGAGCACACTGCATGTGTAAAAAGCCTGGAAATGAACCTTCTTCTCAGGTTAAGGAAGGGCAGTGCTGAGTTGTGCAGGGGACCCTGGGCCCTGCACTGGCTGGCTGTGTGACTTGGGGTGAATCAGCCCTTCTCTGTGGTCTGTTTCCCGGGTCTATGGTGAATGGGGTGGTGTCTGAGCTTCCAGAGCTCCAGCCTTCTGCAGTGTCCTTTGTGACCCTGGAAGGTAGGGGAGGAGACCACAGCATCAGGGCCAGAGGATGTGGTGTGACAAGTGACTGTGATTTTTGGCCCGGTCGCTGTCTGGGCCAGCAGGCTCTGTAGTTAGCTGCTGCCTCCCCCAAAGGAGGGTGGCGGCCTGGGCTGCTGGCAGCACGGTCATTAGCTGGGCAGAGGAGACCCTGTGATTGGGAGCTGGCTGGGCCAGGCCTGGTTGGCAGGGCTGGCTCAGCCACAGGGGGGTCATTGGCAGGGCAGCTGGCTGGGCAGCTGCTTCTCCTTTCGCAGCCTCCAAGGCGGTACCCTTGGGGCACTAGAGCTTTGTAAGCCAAGGCTTGCCCTTCCTCCTGTGGTGGTCATGGGAGTGGAGCAGTGAGGAATCTAGCCAGGCCTGAAGATGCCTCCTTCTAGAAGCTTCCAGGATTCCTCCCTCATAGATCCACAGCCCTCGCTCACCGACTGTGGTCTGTGGATTGGGCTTGGGCAGGTCTGCTTCCCTTGTCAGCCAGTCAGAAGTAGATTCTCTGCCGTCCCAACCCTCTGAGTGCCCAGCAGCGTGCGTGGCACAAAGTGGCCGTCCCACCCCTATCTGGGACAGGTAGTGTGAGCTACCCCTTGGGCAATTTGCTCACTTTGTACCTCTATTTCTTTCCCTATAAAATGGGGCTGTTAATCACAGTGTTGTGGGGGTTGGATGAGACAATGGGAGGCAGGTGTCAGGGCTGACACACAGGGTGCTCCCTCAGCAAGAGTCCCCTTGCCTGTCCCCTCAGTAGCTTCAAGATTGAGTGACTCAGTAAGAAGCTGATGGAAGAGTCCAGCTAGTGATGCCAGGAGTGGGGTGTGCCAGGCAGGCAGGGAGGGCTTCCTAGAGGAGGACACTTTGCTGTCATACTGTCAGATAGGATTTGCAGAGCTGTGATTCCCACCACCTTCCC